GAGGATACTTGGTCAAGGACCGGAAGTCGTGAGCTGCTTGAGTCATATGTAAAAGAATCGTTTCTGGCCACTCCCAAGTGAATGGCGATCAGAAAACTTTCCTCACTTGCGTGAACTTCTACACATAACTCCATCCTCGAGCTTGAAACACTGTAGGAGAAAAATACGCGCATGAGGTCCCTTGGGTTATCCTTGGCGGCTATATTCTTCAATTTGAGGCCTACGAAAGAGCAGCTTAATTTAGCGACTTTACCCGAAAGGAAGGCCAGTGGGGACTGGTTCGCGCTTTTGATGACCTTGTAGCCTCTAAGGTTTTCTGAGAAGTCAAACTCCGGATGGGGACCCGCCGAATTGTCGAGTACATAGCTAAAAACTAAGCTAGATAATCTGACGCCGTTCTCCATCCATCTCTACTGTATGGTGCATGGCAAGGAAGAATTTCCGCATGTGACGGCCACCTGCAGGCTGTCACTGGCCACGCTGCTGAAGTCCCTTGTTGATGCTCAACTATACAGCTTTGTTGACTGCCTTGGTTTTTTAAGCAGGGTTCCTTCACTTCCCCGTCAAAGCTTTAGTCGTCTAGGTGTTACATGTTTTTTTTTTTTCTTGAATCTTTATTTGTGTTCATTCTGTTCCCACCGTCAACCGGAAACGATTAGTTTTAAATGCAAAGCTGGAATGCTGGAATGGGTGTCCTCACAATTTCACAAACAGGAGATGGGTGTAAAACTAAGAGGTTCATTCATCCATATCCTAATCGGTGGAAATATGAGATATCTCTCTTTGTTCGTAGTTGGAATATGCGGTCTCAGTTAGGTTGCGCCCAATACTATTGTTTAGGCTTTTTCTCCACGGTGAGGCGATCAGCGGTGGAGATGAATGAAATAACTCAAATTAAAATAAGTTTTTAAATACGAAACTACTTCATAACATCTCTACTTACAGTAAAGAACCCTAAAAGTTTATAGCCTTTTAAATTTAATATTTTAAGCTACTTTCAGGATAAATTAACACAAAAAAATTTGGAAAACTTTAGCAACCAAACAGTGTGAATCTTTTCTGTATGAACTTTCAGTGAAAAATATATTTATTTTCAAAAATTAAGAGTGGAGTGTCGGGTTTTTACGACACATTCTAAGTCGTTTCATTTAACCTTTTTCATTATAAACGCAGAGTAGAATAGTTTTGTTCACCTAATGGTTCTATGTATAACCTTAAACTAATGGCGATAGATAAAGGGTTATATATATAAATAAGAAGGATGACGAGACGAGTTGAAATCCGGGTGACTATCTTTCTGTTCTTCCGTGCAACATGTTTCTACAGAGTATAATAGTTTTGTCCACCTAATCGTTGTAAGTATCAACTATAACTATTGGAGATAAATAAAGTGTTATATATATAAGATGGTTTAGAAGACGAGTCAAGTTGAAATTCGGGTGACTATATTTCTGGCCATCCGTGCAAGCCAGTGACTTGAGCGATACTTTAGATATATTGGTGAAACTTAGTAGACATGTCTCTTGGCACCATAAATAGTTTGGTATTGTAGATAGGCGTAATCGGATCATTGACACGTCCACATTATGCCATTAATCGAAAACTTATAAAGTGCCATAACTAAGCCGTAAATTAAATAAATATTTCAAATTTGGAGAGAATCCTGTCTTGATAATAGTGTGCATGAATGTCAAAAATTGATTGAATCGGGTCAATAATTCCCTTAGCCCCCATACACCTTATAAAAATTTTTGAAGTTCATGGTAAATTACACTATGTTACCGTACGAAAAAGAAGTAAATTTAGACTGCAGTATCTATAGTTTACTTTTTACCGCAAATATCGGTCAATGTATGAGATATACTATATAATTAAAATTCAGGGAAAATCGGTTCCTGACAATAGTTTGTCCGTGCGTCAAAAATGGGCTGAAATTGGTTAATACTTCGCTTAGCTCCCATACACAAAGTTTAATAGAGAAAATAACCTTAATATATTTATGATAAATATTTAATTGTATCAAACTTTCCAAGAATCGCTATCAAAAATTCAAATGTAAACGAATAAGGGTAAGTAGAGTAAACTTGAGAAGTATGCTTCGTTTTTAAGGATTATTTTGAAAACCATTCTATTCGATAAATATTTAAATATGGATGCATAGAATTATTTTAGTCGTTTCACAAAAGTATTCAAACACGATCCCAATTAAAAGTTATCAACACTGACTTATGATAAATTTAATATATTTTTTTATATATTTAACAGGACCCGGTGGTTTCTCAGAATACATACTTTACAGGAAATCTTGGGAAGCAAAAGGATTTGGATTTACTTTACGTGGCCCTAATGACTTCAAATTAGATAAATTTTTTGCCGGTTCACCAGAATCCTTTGACACTTACTACGGAGTCAGAAAAGACGGAAATATATATTTTAAAGACAATCAAGACTCTTTTGCAGATTACGTGCTCAAGCATTGTGAATCTGGAGTTCATTTCGTTATGGCAGATGGAGGGTTTTCAGTTGAGGGTCAAGAAAATATTCAAGAAATTCTTTCTAAGCAACTTTATTTGTGTCAATGTTTGATGGCACTAAAAATCCTTCGAGTTAACGGAAGTTTTCTTTGCAAATTATTTGATTTATTCACGCCATTTAGTATAGGACTGATATTTTTAATGTATAAATGTTTTGATCAGATATCTATATTGAAACCTAATAGTAGTAGACCGGCGAATTCAGAGCGATATTTAGTTTGTAAATGGAAGAAACCAAATACTGATTATGTTTGTAAGTACTTGGATCACATCAATGACATTTTAAACTTGGGTAAAGAAGACGTTTTAGAAATTGTCAACCAACAACACATTGTGTCTGATCAAACTTTCTTAGATTATATTGTTAAAAGTAATAATGACATTGGACAAAATCAAATTTTAGGTTTGAAAAAAATTGCAGCATATTGCAGAAACACCCAACTTAAGGAAACTAGACAGTCGGAAATAAGAAAACGTTGTCTTGAACTGTGGGGACTTCCAGATAAGCTTCGACAAGCCCCAGAGTGTAAAACCCAAGAGAAATTTCTAGAAGAAGTTCTAGGTGATTGGAATGATAAGTTATTTTTTAATTCTTTGCCCACAGAATTACATACAACGGAATGCATCCAAAACAATATTAACAGTATATATGACTGGTATTTTGTCCCAGTTGGTCGGGCCGAAACTAATATTAATGCTTGTAGTATGTTTTTATGTAAATCTAAGGGTTGTTTATTACGATATAGTGACAGCAAAAAATGGGAACCCGTAGAATATATATTTGACATATCACCGAAATCGATATTTTATGGCGAAATTGTTTACGAGTATACTGGTGAAGGTAGAACTCAAACCAGAATATGCGCTTTACACATTATAGATGCGATAATGCTTGGAGGAATAGATATACGACGTTTAAAACTTTCAGAACGTTCTCGGTTATGCCAAAAATACTCTCTTAGTCTTAATAAGCCATTCAAAGATGGCAATTGTAGTCCTATTCGCAGCAAACGTTTATACGAACTAAAATATTTAAAAAATTTTTTTAACGATATGAGGTCCCATGTTTTGAAAGATAATTCAACCCGCCTAGGTTTAACTTTGCCATCTGAAAACAAGTTTTTTGTTCCCGGGGGCATTATGTTGTTTTGTGAAATTTTTCACAATTTTTTTTCAAGTATGTCCCATTCAACTCATAAACTGTATTATTTCAATAAGCAAACGAAAACGTCGTTTTACAAAAATTTTATGCCAAATGATATTCTAAATACTTTGTACGCTTCATTTAGAAATAGTTATCAAAGACGATTACTGTGGAAATGGACCAATTTGAAGCAAGTTGAAGAAAAATGTAATCATCGAGAAACAAATTTGCTTTACCGAGAGGATTTAACAAAATTTATATCCAATAAAGAAGAAAATTAAAAAAAATAAATTGTATATTGAGCTTAATATCGTAACTAAATTCATTAAAAACATACAAAAGTGTTATATTGTGACATCTATAAGTAAAATATTTTTCTTAAAAGTCTATTCAGAAATTCCAATGTGTACATTTTAAATAATTTCACTTTAGTGTATTTAACAAGATGTACGTTTATTTAACAATATGTAAATAAACCATTTACTGATTTCTTTACGTCTACTCGCCTGTGTTTTTTATACTCTAAGTACTGTTTTGAACAAACTGTCTATAAAGCTGTTTGCCTTACTAAATGAACTCAGGATATATAATTTCTTATAATAAGACGATCTTTAAATTTCAGTAACAACTTTTCATTACGATAAGTGTAAATACAAAACTCCAACGCGAGTAGTTAATACAAAAATAAAATTAGAGAAAATCGATAATATGGTGCCATATTCCGTTACTAAGTTCAAAAATACTACATTTGCCTTTAATTCTGGGAACAAAATATTGTTACTATGTAACTCCAGTTTTGGGGTATACGTTTAAATTTCCCATTTATTTTCAATATAATTTTTGTGTATTAGAAAATAATTAAGAATAAAATTATGGAAAGCTTATAAAATGTGAGCATTAATAAATAAAATACAACAAACAAATGTCAACAATAAATTCGAAAGCAAAAGCCAGCCTATGATATAAAATCCATTTAAATTTAAGAATAAATGAAGTTGTTCTTTACGTTACGTTTATACCTAACACCATTTTTTGTTAGAAATATATGATTTTAACGATTTAAAATACAGCCCTTCTTTTGTAAGAATGCCTATTTTTATAGCTGATAATGTTATTGATATGTAATTAAAAGTTGAATTAAACTCATAGTTTTTTAATTTGATTCTCGCACTAGAATTCAGCAAATATGTACATATGTATGTATGAGGGTTGACTTTTATATTTCGGTATTTGGCAAAACTAGTGTTACAATTTGGAAATTCACAATTTTAGGTTCAATAATATTTTTAGAGTTTAATATTAAGTTCAGTTTGTATTTTGTGTTCCATCTGTAGTAAACGTACTTGCTCCGGCCTCGCCTTTACAACATTACCTTCTTATTTGACTCTGTAGGGAAAAAAACATAATCGTCAAATTACAGCATAATTCCGTTAAAACATTGCATTCTTATTGACCGTGAAAGGACAATAACATAATAGTCGAAGTACACAATATAATTTACATACTGAGAATATTTTGACATACGAGCGGTACTTGTATATTTTACAGTAACATAAAATATTCTTCTCGACCAAAAACGGAATTAAGTCGTGAACATTTTTACGTGATTATCTTTTACAACTTTCGGCGTGGATTTTATCAAGAGTGCATAGATGAGCCTAGTTCAGTTTTTGACGATGAAGCTCCATCAAGGACCAGAGTTTCGGGAGAGTCATCCAAGATAAGTTATTGTTACGGAAACTAATGTTGATGTGCGCAAACTCATATTGCAAAATAGTATGTAACCTATCGTGAGATTGAGACAACTATGTTCATTAGTTGAACTATCTTACATTCAATATTGCATGAACATTTCACTTAGAAAAATTTTTTTCAGAAAAATGTTAAATACGATAGCGGTGCTTCGCAATACGTGTATCACATCGTGACAGGTCAGAAACGTAGTAAATAACAATCGAATGTATGTTAAGATGAGCCAATACAATAAAAGTTTAGCGCGCACGAAACACTTCCAAGCAAATTTTTGTCTTTTTTTTTTTTTGAAAACCTGTACATGTCGCAAATATACAACAAGAACAACGCAAAACAGTAAATTTTAGTGTTATAAAACCATTTGTTTGCTAGTTGTCTTTCAAGAATGCAGGAAAACTTACGGCCGAAGACGGGTCACTCGTCATTCTTGAGCACTTAAAACATTGCTTTGATGAGTCATCCTCCGTATTCCCGTTCGTAAGTAATAAACTAAGAAGTCAGTGGGCTAAGAGGCGGTTATATTCAAAAGGCATGTTTTGCAGATACCTCAATCAGGGGTCGACTAGTTACATCCGGTATGATGATATACATGAACGAGTATACCTTTATCCAATCGCTCGAAATGTTATTCAAATGAAAATTATCAACCGTAACGGACGCACTTATGGAAATGTGAGTAATTATACCCTGAACAAGGCATATTAAGTTTGTCACGAAGTTTGTAACACCCAGAAAGAAGAATCGGACAGCCTCTAAAGTATTTATATAAATGATCAGTATGTCGATTTAGCCATGTCCGTCTGTATATATACGATCTAGACCCTCAGTTTTTAAGATATCGTTTTGAAATTTTGAAAAGACGTCCGTAAATATAATTTCAAGTACAACCGAGATATTTCGTCGTTTAAGATCGACGTATCGGCTGACAGTTTTCAATTAATACTTGACAACTCATTCTGGCCATCTGGAGTCTTGTGCGCGAATTCGAGCACAAACATGATAAGCCCCCTGCAATTATCACTTAAATGCCAAGAAATTCCGTGAATACAAAAAACTAAGTAACAATAATTCGCTGACTATTTATTATCAAAATGTTATAGGTCTTAATACAAAACTTACGGATTTGTATTTAAACAGCATTCATTGTAACTTTAAAATCATTGCCTTCACAGAGGCTTGGCTAAAGTCTCACATTTTTGACAATGAAATATTCAACAGCGAATTCGAAATCTATAGATATGACCGGCTGAACAGAAAAGCAAGGTGGTGTCTTGCATTCTTCAATTCCATTTGAAGAAGTCAATGTTCCGCATGCAGACTTCATAGAATTTAAGTGCTTTCGTATTTGCGCTAATAGTGGCCATATCTACTTAACTTTATCTTATATACCGCCTCACTTGGATATATCTATTTATATGCAGCATGCTTCATTAATAAATAACACTGTGGAACATTTTTGGGATTATTGTCTGGGGAGTGCGAAATTCCAAGTCAAAAGGTCATAAAAAAAACTGACATATACGAACGCCAAACCCTTTGAGGGTTTTACTATACTGACCTAGTACCATCACCCTGACTGGAATTTCTCACCCCCCAGATTAGCTGTTGTACTGTGTAATGTTTTCTCAATGGCTAATAATATTGATTCCATGATTGTCTTGGGGGATTTCAATTTACCGTGCGTATCATGGAAATCTATTGATGATCACACCATTCCTATTAGTACTCGCTTAAGTTTTAACGAGTTCTTAGATTAAATGTCTGAGTTGGGTCTCGTCCAAATTAATTTAATTTCAAACGAGTTTGGTAAGTTCTTAGATCTAGTTTATGTTGATAACGCTTCAATGTTCTCCGTTATCCGATGTGATCCTTTGGTTCGGCCAGAGGACCCGTATCATCCTGTTTTGAAAATTGACATCGAAATCATAACTAACTTTGCTCATAATATAAGCATAGTTTTCGGTTCAACTTTGCGAAAGCTAATTTTAAGAAAATTAATCACGAACTTTCTAAAGTAACTTGGCCAGATTACAGTGGCAATATCGAATTTAGTGATTCCCACTTTAATGAAATTATTTTAAACTTATTTGAAAAATATATTCCGAAGTGTGCTGTTACTCAAAAAATTAGTTCTAATTTATGGTTTTCGAAAGAATTATGTAAATTAAGAAATAGAAAATCTTGTTTTAAACTTAAAAAAATAAAACTGGTTTAGTTGCTGACTCTTCAAAATATTTTAAATTGCGTCGAAAATTTGCTGAACTTAACAAAATAAGTTGTAATAATTATATAAATTAAGGAAAAAATAATATTATACGTAATCCAAAATTGTTCTTTGGTTTAGTCAACTCCAAAAGCAGGATTTCTAATTTTCCGTCTGCTATGAAATATAAGTCTAGTATGTCTAGTGACAATCACACCATTTCCAATATGTTCGCTGAATTCTTCAAGTCCAATTACTCTCCAAAATCTCTAAAAAATGTTCCGCATCAACACAAGTTATGTCCGATTTCTGTCATTACTTCACCTACTATTTCCGAAGCAGACATCTTATATCAGTCAAATATGTTAGAACAATCATACAATTATGGCCCAGATATGATTCCCTCATGCTTTCTTAAGAAATGTGCCAAATACAAGGCAGGGCTTATTTCCATCCATATGGAAAAAAGTCATTTATAATTCCTTTACATAGGTGTGGATTTAGGTCATTGATTGAAAACTATAGGGGAATAGCAAAGTTGTCTGCAATACCTAAACTTTTTGAAGCAATTATAACAGACGACATAACCTTCCGGATGTCTCCACTAATTTCTTGTCCTCAGCACGGTTTTCGTAAAGGAAAAGTTGATATTTTTACGCAACTAGAAATCGATTGCTTAATGTATATGTAGTCAAAAATCGATTCTACACCTTAATATAAGATTTCAGAATATTTCCGAATACATTCTCTTTGTGGCTATATCCAACTCCAATAACTTCAAAACGGCTAATACGCATAAATATGTTAAGTTCATATTTTTACGTAACTTGGTATCGATTGCCTAATGTATATGTACTAAAACATCCATTCTATACCTTAATATTACATTGTGAAATTGTTTAAAATACACTGTCGTTACGGCTATACGACAACTCCACAAACTTCAAAGCGGCTAATATGCATAAATATGTAAAGTTCATAAAAATATGCGTAAAAACGCAACTTGATATCGATTGCTTAATGGATATCTACTACCAAATCGATTCTACACATTAATATAAGAGTTTGAATATGTTCCAAATGCACTGTCGTTAGAGCAATATGACAATTCTATGACAACTCCAATAACTTAAGGCTAATTAGCTTAAATATGACAAGTTAATTTTTTCAAAAATCGATTCTACACCTTAATGTAAGATTGTGAAATTGTTCCAAATACATTGTCGTTATGGCTATATGACGACTCTATGATAGCTTCAATAACTTCAAAATGGCTAATTACCATAAATATGTAAATTTCATAACAAATGCGTAAAAACGCAACTTGATATCGATTGCTTAATGTATTTGTACTAAAAACT